TGATTTTTAATAGATTATTTTTTCTGGAAAATGTTTTTCACTCACAAACCAAACACCATAAATATTTTCAATCCTAGGAAAATGACTTCTGTCTTACCAAGCACACCCTTGGTGGCCTTGTGCCTAACCAATACTAATGATGCTCGATTAAATTGATGTAGTTGTTGAGCATTTTGCTGTCATGCTTGTGGTTTGGCCATCCCCTCAGCTGGGAGCAATGCGTTGGAGCTGTAAGCATTTACTTCATTGTCTCTTGGCATTGGAAGCTGAAACATCCAGTTTTTTTGTTTTATTTGGGGAGAAAGTTGTTTTACGGTTAATTTCATTATTTTTTTCAGGTTATCGTCTTTGGGGCCCTTTATGCAAGAAGCTTCTTAAATACTAAAAAGAAACCACCGTTGACTTTGGAGAACACAGAAAATAGAGCTTCTAGTCCTCCAAAAGGAAATCCATAGCAAGACCTTGAAGGATTCCGATGTTTGCAGTTTAACTGATTTGACTTTGCCCTCTCTGAGATAAAACTAACTAAAGGTGGAATAGATAGGACTTCAATTGTAGGGACTCCGCGTGGAAGACTAGCTTTCTGGTTGGTATTTAACAACTTGAATCCAAGATTTGAAACACATTTTAACAACCTGCCTCAGGTATTCACTATTGTTGAAATAGACACCCATAAGCTATAGAAGTACTGAGTTTTGTCCTTCAAGTTTCTATGTGTTCTTCCCCATTTTTCGGTGCTACAGAAAGACTCAGCTTTGGTGGAGTTGTAATCTCTCTCGAGAAACAAACTACAGTTTTATCTTGGCAGAACCAAAACAGATAGTATATTGCATTACTTTATGGAAAAAAGATGTCAGGTTTTATATAATATGACTCTTGAGTGCTGAATTTCTTGTATAGGCAGATACACTATGGATGCTATTATATTTGTTGATTCGATCAATGAACCAAAAGAAGTTCAACTTGGTTCATTTTCCCGGAAAGCTACTCCAAGCATTAGTGGCGGATTGAATTAGTACAAAAAATAAATGTGAGTATCAGACACTGACTAGGCTAAAAAAAAAGGGAACATTTTTTTGACGCAATCGTCCTAAACTTGGAGATCAAATTACAAAACCAATATCATGAGGTAAATGATAAGTCCATTGTTTGTGAAAATATCATATGTTGGTGTAACCTATATGTAACTGAGTTTGTGTATTATTTCTCTTCCTTTTCAATCTGTTTGTCTTAGTTATTATTTGGAAAGTCTAAGGATATTTTTCTTATTACGACTCTTTCAAAAAATTTAGTACTAAATATGGTACATTAGTATTAGATATTGTGATTCATAATGTATTATTTTTTTTTATTTCTAAATATGTAGATTTTATTTCGAAAAAGTTCTGAATTCATGTCGAATATTCGTTAGTTTAAAGGTTGTACATCGAATCAAGCCAAACAAATTGATAAGAAAACAGTATCAAATATCAAAGATGAAAGTTAAAATATATAAAGTTGGAGAAATTTGTCATGTAGTGGCTGTAGTTTAGTGGTAAGAATTCCACGTTGTGGCCGTGGAGACCTGGGCTCGAATCCCAGCAGCCACAAAATATTTTGCTTGTTTTTTTTTTTGTTCTTCAGCTTTTCATTTTCATTTTGTGTTTCATCATTCATGCAATATTGATTAGGCGCACCAATTTGGGCCTCCTAATCAAAATAGACCCAATTTACAAGTACATAAAATACTCATGACTCATCTAGGCCTATTTAATTATTTTTAAGAGAAACTTAGATAAATTTCACTAGTTTAGGAGCTAATTACTTCGATACACTCTAGTTTGCAATATTACATATTTTCTCAAATTTTAGTGCAATTAGATACGTTCAAATACATGTATCTCAAGATACATGAGGTTAAAATTAGGTGTAATTTGTTTTTGATACATTGTATTCAAGTGGATTCGCATGTATTTAGGATACATAACAAATCTCACTCGCCTCTCTCTCATCTCGATCGTCACTCTCTTATGTATCTAGTGTTCCATATACATGCGAATCACATCAGATACATGTATCTAGTGTGATTCATATGTATCTTGGATCATAACAAATCTCACTCGCATCTCCCCCTATTTTAGTGTATCTGATAGCAAAAATGCATGTATCTAAATGCATCTTCCTTAATATATGGTAGAAAACTCTTAATTAGTGATAAAATATGTAATATTTTGAAAGTATAGGTAATAGTAAATATGGTAGTGAAGTATGTAAAATTATGTAGTTTCTCCTAAAAAATAACACAAATTCCATTAGTTCTAGACCTAATTACGTGCTTTTACTCTAGTTTTTGAAATTACCTTTTGTACCACATTTTCTTTGCTAGATATATGTATCTGGCATACTCAGATACACTTATTTCAGATAACCTGTTTCCAAATGTGATTCACATGTATCTTGGATACACTTACACTCTCACTCGTCTCTCTCCTATCACAATCGCCTCTCTTCTTTGTCGCTTGCCTCTCTCCCTCTCTCAATCGCCTCTCTTCCTATGTATCTATATTTCAGAATGTATCTGGTGTTCCATATACATGTATCTAGTGTGATTACATGTATCTAACTTAAAGTCTAGCATAAAACTATTAATTAATGAGACAAAATGAAATTATTTCAAACTATAAATCAAATTAGTATTTATAATAGGAATTTTGGTTTTTGGGCCGGGTCATGCTAGGAATTAGATATCTTTTCCTTATTTTTTTAGAATCAAAATGTTATTTGTTACAATTTTGCCTCACGTATGACAAATTTTGTTTACATAAGTACACAAAGTGTTGTTATTAATTTTGCTCCAAGTATGACATATTATTTGTGCTTGTCAAGACCTAATTTTAAAAATGTATGTCCTAAATTTGAACTATCAACGTCTTCATAAGTTTTAGACCTATGTACTTGAAATTGGGAGTAACTTTTACGAAGTTTTGACTATAAAATTTCGTTCTCACCAATATTTTCAATTTTTATTTTTTCGTTTTTAGTCCATTTTAAAAAGGACAAGTTTTTAGTCGATTTGTATTTGAAATCGTTTTTAGTCCATTTTTCACTAGGATAAAACATGATTTTTACCCTATTTTTTTACACTGATTCAATCAAAATATTTGTGAAAATGGTCACTGAATATTTATAAATGAGAAATTTCAATAGAAAAATAACCCTCACAAACATGTGATTACAAAATATTTAGAGCAATCTTATATAATTAAGTTCATTAGTAGTAATTAAAGATGAACTACTTATGCGATGAATAAACAACATTCACCACTCCAAAATGGCTTATCAAACAAGAGAAACGAAAAGAGTTGGATAAAATTAAACGAGATATTATAGTCTAAGAATGTTTCTTTATGTTCTCCGATTGTACGATGACAACCAAGAAGCATTGCATATTGTCCGAAATTCGACCTTTAATGAACGAATCAAACATATTGAAGTAAATTGTCATTATATTCGGGATAAAATTACTTTTTCTAGTTATGTTTCCACTCATAATATCTTTAATAAGGTGTCACATTATAAACACTTGGGGTATTGACTATAAACAAAATGGTTATATGTATATTTGGTAGTATATATGTGTATATTATAAATTATGATTATGCTAAATATAGGAATTCTAGGTCTAATGTATTAGGATTTGGGTAGGGGAATTAGGAATTCTGTTATTTTCTTGTGTATATATAGATAGTATAACTAATGAGATGGGGTGAAATTTTTTCCAACTATGTTATGCTCTCATTCACGATTCTTTGGATTTTTAGAAAATATTTTCTTTCGTATCAAACATAATTAATTTTTCCAATTATCCCTTAGAAATATAATGCGTCCTTTTCACCCAAAATAAAATATTTGAAACCTATATTGTATTGTAATGTATTACTAATATATCTAAGTTGAAGGAGTTTCATTTTTTAAATTGAGTGTATGGGAAAGGAAAATAGGCGAGAGAATTATAAGGTGAAAATTGAAATTTTACTAATAAAATGAAAATTTAAACAAATAATCAACTGAGCTATTAAAATTTCCAATACGATAATAATAACATGTCAAGAAAAAATCTAAGAAGGAGCACGAATTTTCATTCAATTAAAAACGCTTGTGTTTTCTTTTATCAGTATAAGCACACGTAAACATAATCATTAACATAATGACGTCCATATATATTTATTTCCTAGAAATATTATATTGTCCTTATATTATTTATTTTTTTAGGTAATAAAAATGGCATCCTTTTGAGTAAACAATCCTTCCCAACGATTTTTTTTTTTTGGAAATTTTTACAAATAGCCATTGTAATAAACTTAGTTATACTCCATTACTATGTTTCCTTTCGTTTTAATCCATTTTAAAAAGAATGTCTTTTTCTTGTTAGCAAATTTTTAATTACAACTTTTCAGCACTACAAATTTAAAATCACAAAATAAAAAGAATAGTTTGCTATATTTAACGTATTTTTAATTTTATACCAACAAAACTTCATAAAAAAATATCTCAAAAACTCTATGAAAATCAAATTAGGTCTGAACGAACGAATCAGTATTTTACCACCAAACACAAGTTTCATGTTCGACGTAGTATTCATACAAAAAAATTACAATAAAAAAATTCTTTATTAACCACCATCTATTTCAGAGATCCCTACGAAAATCTTTGTTTGTCTAGGTACTATCTAACATGCCATGCCAAAATTTAACTACTATTTTAAAACATCTTTTTTTTTTCTTTCTCAATCGTAACGTTCATTTTTTGCCTATCGAAAAGAACATTTATTATAAGAAGCCGTCCAAGATTTTAATTTTTTCATTGGAATTAGTCAACTACTCTACTAAAATAATACTTAATACAACAAATAAAAACACACAAATATGTAAAAGACAAAATGATTTATATATTTAGTTTTGTTGGTCAGTTCCATTCAGTATAACGTTTCTATGCATAATTAATTACATACAAATTAACAAATCATTTTTTTTTTGTTTTATCTACACAAACTCTTCTCTTTTGTCTCGTAAACTTTCAAATACACATAATTTATCGACCTTGTGATGTTGATGTTGACACGGACGGTGAATATGACCCGCTCCACCCCATACTAGAATCCGAAAAACAAGCACCATGAAATAAATCCGATAAGTAATTTTGTAAATCATCGGGGGCAAATCGGACAATTGACTCTGTTCCGATGTCCAATTCTCCCCGATACGTCTCGTAAAACGCTTGATATATCGAAATAATCTTACTAGCCAATGATATTTTGACGTGGTCGCGGAGTTTTGGGTCAGGTATGACCCATGAACTTTGTTTTCGATACACCTCCTCAAAACTCGAGTTGAATTTGATGAAGCATTCCTTCACTTCTGAGGATGACATTTCAGTCGTAAGATTCTCAGGTATTGATGTAACTACTTTGCTCCACCCTGTCCTCTCGTACTTTGACATGTACTCTTTCACTTTCATTTCGTGCTTTGAAATCCATTCGGATCCAAGTAGGAGCTTCAAGTTTGATTCCCTAACCTTCAAAACGACGTAGTTTAAGTTGTTGGCTAGGAACAAATAGGACAACCCTACGTCCTTATATAGTTGTGCTTTACCATCGAGTTTACATAGAAGGACAAGCACGAGCCACGTGAGTCGTACTACGATGGGGGAGGACGGAGAGTCCCCGTCCCCTGATGTAGGACTCAAGTAGCAAGACTCCGACAACATTTGTATTGACATAGGGGAGCAATCAACGACTATATCAGAAATCGCGCCACTATAATCACCAAGGAAAACAAGAAAGTTCATGACATATCGAGTTAACGGGTGAATTCCACCACCAAGAACCACCTTCGAGGAATCTTTTTGAACGGCGGTTTCAAACGCAGACAACATAGCTCTAATGGCATCACCGAGCTTACCCAGTGATGCCATTGCCTGAGCTTTGACTACCGCCATTGAATCAAAGGTGAATATCGATTCGAGCTCAACCCAGAGCTCACAAATAATCTCATAGATATCCAAGACTCTAAACATTTTCTCCGGAGATAACTTCTTGAACTTCATCACCATTTCCGGGAACACGAACAGAGTAAGAGCACCATCATTAGCAATCTCTGAGAAACACGAATCTCTAATGTTTACAGAGGAAGAGAATACATAATCACAGAGAATTCGTTCTCCGCGAAACAGAGCATTGACAGCAATCTTTACAGAGCTCAACCAATTCTTGATTTTCATCTCCATTAATTCCCAATCCATTTTCTGAACTTGGTAAGAATTCAATTTTTCAATCCCCAAGTAAAACAGAGTCTCATCGATGACTGATTTTCGATTAACTTTGTACAATTTTACGCATTCTCTTCCATAACCAGCACCAATCATACAATCAGCAATGGCTTTCAAATCAGCCATGACAGATTCCGAAACTTCGTCTTCCATAGATGATTTTGAAGCTCTTGATGACGACACCGTTTCATGATCAAGAAAGTAGCTACTACCCGATAAAATGGTGTAGAATTCTTTCTGGAGTCTCTTAATAGCAATTTGAATGAGATTATGAGCTCGAACGAGTAGTTTAGAGGTGGACTTATCTTTAATAACGAACTGCATCGCGTGTTGTAAGTCGTTAACGGATTCAAGAAGGCGTTTGGCATCTAAAGGGTTGTCGCGAAAGAGATTCGCGACTCTGTTATAAGAGGTAGAGGTAGAGTCGAGATCCCATTTCTTGATAATTGATTGAGAATTTTGTATTGTTTCTTCCATTAAAGATTCACAAAAAGAGGTGGATGATGATGAATAATTATGTGAAGATGATTTTGATGATGAGAAAAAGGGAGTCTTCATTTGTAATTTGTTGTTTCTTTAGAGAGAATTAAAGAGAAAGAAGAGGGAAATACAGAGTAATGAGATTGTTTGAAAGGGGGAAAGGATGAATATATATATAGTGTTAAATGTTAATCGGTGGTGAAGTGAGAATTTGAAGTTTATGAGTTCGAGATTTTAGTTTTTTTAAGTTACTGAGTTTTCAATTAGTAATTTATCCATATTTGATGAATTTTTTTTACTATAAGTTTAGAGTTTGAACAAAATTTACTAGGTTCAGCCGAGCGCGTTATCAACACATTAGTTTCGCCCATTGTTAAAGCTACCACTTACAAGCAGGGGCGGATCTACGTTCAACGAAGGGGGTTCATCCGAACCCCCTTCGTCGAAAAATTACACTATATATATAAGATTAAATTTTGAATATATGTGTATATATATACTATTGAACCCCCTGAACATACACCAAAGGCGTAGCTCAGTGGCGTTGGGGGTTCAGGAATTTGCTCTACTGCACGCGAGGTCGCGTGTTCGAATCCGGGCAGAGGCATTTTGTTTTATCAGCTTATTTCAGGCGTTTTATTTTTAAAAAAATAATAATAATGCAATCAGAAAATGATGTTTAGTTCCAAAAAATTAAAATGCTGATTGAGAATTTAGGATTTCTTAGTTTATTCCCAAATTATAAAGTCAAATATTTAAAAATCCGTTTCTTCTTGATTCGACTGTTTAATCCGACCCGTTTATATCCGATTCGACCCGTTTATTTGTGGATATTATTTACGTGATTAATTTTTTTTGAACCCCCTTGATGAAAATCCTCCCTCCGCCACTGCTTACAAGTATCATATTTTTGCAAGTTTGCTATTGGAATTATCATGTATTCATCAACTGTTTATCAAAATACACCTCAGTTATCAATTGTTCCCTTCTTCCTATTTGAAATATTATGTTCAAGTAGAAAAATGGAACTACTGATAGCTGAGATATATTTTGATTAACAATTGATGATAGTTTAGATAAAAAACATAAACACATTATAGTTCAAATAGTTTTTTTTTAAAAAACTTACTCCCTCCATCCCATTTTATGTGACACTTTTCGGATTTTGAGATTCAAACAAGTCTATCTTTGACCGTAAATTTTTCATAGATCTTTTAAACATTTTGATTTATCAATTATCGTGACTTATAGTACGTTTCACTTAGTTTACAAATATATAAATTTTATTTCAAAAGAATAGAAGATTCCATGAGCAAATTTCCGATCAAACTTAAACTATTTGACTCTCAAAAAACGAAAAGTGACGCATATATATATAAAAGAGGGGGCAACAACAAAGTTTGACTGAGAATCCAAGATGAGAAGGGCCAAGAAAATAGCTGAATGAAGACGTAACGCGGTCCCAGTAATTTACTTCTTCCGTCTCAATCAATTTATATGTTTGTGTTTGCTTTTGTATTGGTGTGAGGTTTATCATTTATGTATGGTTTTCAAAGGTGTTTTTGGGGTGAGTTTTGAGGCGTGATATATCAAAAATATTTTAGAATGCAAATGAAAGATGTAGATCTATAAAATGCATGACTTAGAATTGGGGTGTAAAGCTCGAACATAAAAGTGTACATCTCGTATGTTAAATTTGATTTTTATTATTTTAAAAATATTTTTGCTATAAATTATATTTTATTTTTATTTTTGTAATAATTTATACTTTATAATATCATGTTTTTATGTTGGAGTGATTTTTCTTAAAATACATAAATAAAGAACAATTCTCATAAAAAATGATACCATCATAAATATTGTTTTAGATAATCAAAATTGGTAGGATAGAGATTTCATAGCACTATGTTCCACATACGAGTTTATCTATTTTTTTAGCATTACGTTTACACTTTTTATTCCTCTCCTTAAATGAAACATATAAATAATAATTAGTGGAAATATTAGTTGATGGTGAGAAGAGCTAGTAGACGTGGAGATCGATGATAAAATGGATGATCGTTTTAGGCTATTATCAATTTTTGTGTTGTTACCTTTCTCAAATAATAATTATAATATTTTTTTCTATATTATTAGTGATTTATTTGAAATCATGTATAATTATTTGAAAATATTACTTTTTTTTTATTTTCTTAGTAATAAAATTATAAAATTAAAGATACATGAGATATATGTCCCACAGATCCTTGGGACTTATGCCCCGTGTTTCGGGACTTACACTTTTGTTTGTGCTACATAAAATACATTGTCTTGCACCCTCACCTTTCAAAACACTAAACTTAAGAAAGAAATATTTCTTCTGTCTCAATTTATATGACATACTTTAGTTTAAGTATGTTTTTTAAAGAGTATCATTTTTCTATATTTGAAAAATATTCTAATTTTACAATTATATTTTTATCCCGAGATAATTCACAACCACACACTATCTTATTTCTTCTTCTTATACTAAAACTCATTTAGTTATGTACTTATTTAAATTGACGGTAGGGGAAGGGAAATGGAATATGGGATTACAATCAAGATAAAAGCGTAAGAAGCCAACCAACTAAGCTACCAAGCCCCTCCCCTCCTTCCCCCCCTCCAATTAAATTATTTATACAATTATTTTAAAGAAACTTTTTTTATTATATAAGGGTTAGGGAAATTAAAAAAATTGGAAATCGAACACTCGCTAACAAAGTAAAAGTTTAGGCAACCAAGCAAGAGCTATTAAGATTTCCCATAACCATACAAATACCTAAAGCTTATTTCCTACCACAAATTTCAAAAATCTTTATTTTTTAAAAATTAAACTTCGTACCTAATCAAATGGTTCTACATAAATTGAAACGGAGGAAGTAAAACTTTAAAATTTATGATCTAAAATAAGTCATGAATATTTATACTACTATAAATTATCTCACTAAAAATTAAATTATTAGTACCAAATATAAATATATTTCATTAATTTTGAAATTGACTAATAAAGAAATAGTATCACGTAATGAAAAGAGTATTTATTTTTGTCATCAGAATTTATACATCGTGAGTCGTGACTAATCTAAATTATTTGCTCTATGTAGATCCGTTGATAATGTCAATGCATCCCAATAAAAGGTTTTTATGATAACTATTTCCTCCGTTTCTATTTATATGTCACCATTTTAAATTTTATGTGCGTTAAAAAATTAAGTAAGTTTACTATTCTACCTTTATTCAATCTTTTATTGAAATTAATTTTTCAATCAATGAATATGAATTAATTTATTTTGATTAATTAATTTGACCAATGAACATGAATTATTTACTTAGTTTTTCTATGTTGGTCAAATGTATATTTTCAAGGCTAATAACTCACAAGGGTAAAATAGGAAGAACAATGTCATTTATGCATTGATTTTGTGAAATGACAAATATTAAGGACCATCTATTTTTAGTAAAAACGACATATAAAATGGAACGGAGGAGTAGTAAATATTCCATCCAATTCATTTTACTAGACGTCTGTATTAAAAATATATTATTCTTTTTATTTGTTCGTTTTAGCAAATCAAAAGGATTCAATATTTTCTTTCAATATTACCCTTATCATTAAGTAACTATATAAAATAATAGTAGTCAAACTTATATTTTTAAAGCATAATTAATAAGTATAATTTAGTAAAATAATTCACTAATAAATGGTTTTTTCAATATAAGTGTCAAATTAACAAGGGTCAAGTAAAAATAAATAGAGAAAATATAAAGTATATACCTTTTGGGTTACAACAATATAGTAATGTTATCAAATGAACGAATGCGGAGTAAATTTTGCTTATCCTTCCATATTGATAGTCATAGTATTTTTCGTGTATCTTTTTTGTCTTTTACTTTCTGTTACTATATATCTATTGATTTTGTACTTCGACTGTCACAGTATTTTATTGTAGTTATTTTTTTTTCTTTAGAATACTTTGTCATGCTTTCTATAGTATTTTTGACATGATTTCTTCACTTTCATTATTTCCTTTTTTGATTTGCTTTGGTATACTTTTTCTTGAGTTGAGGGTCTATCAAAAACAATTTCTCTACCTCCCAAGGTTTGTATAAGGTATGTGTACACTCTACCTTCCTCATACCTCACTTGTCATTTATACCGGCTATGTTGTTGTATATTACTTCCTCTATCCCAATTTAGGTAGCACAATTCAGATCTTAGAATCAATTTTTTTTATTTTGATCATGAATTAGAACTTACGTTAAGTTTTCAAAAATAAAATCTATATGCTTGAAAACTTCATAAGAAGTATTATAAATCACAATAATTAATAATTCAGAATAGTTAAAAGACATATGAAAATATCGCAATATAAAAATGTAACAATCCGTTCTGTCGTTACGTGGAAAGTACGTTGAATAGTCGGGTATTTTAAATATTTTGGATTCATTGAAATTATTCATCGACCGTCAAGTTAAACTTAACTATTCAACGACCTTCGCTACAGCAAAGGGGTCTTGTATAGAGAAGGCCCGTTAAAACATAAATTTTATTTTATTTTCCACGTGGGTTTTGATGGTTTTTATTCTCTTTTTGTTGGGACTTCTTATAAGGGTATCCTAGGGCTTATTTTAAGAGAAAAGGACCTAAGAGAGAGGGAAGAGAAGAATACTCCTTGCAAGTCTACTGATAACGCATAACTATACCTCTCAACTAAGGTATATACGGTCGTGTGTAAAAATAAATCTAACTTTATATGAGTCGAGGTCGAACCACAAGAATTGGCAAAAGGGATTATGCTCTATTAAATTCTCAACTCAAAGCTAACTAACATGACGTAATCCAAAACAAAAATATAAAGTTAGGGGGATTTGGGAATACAAAAGATTTGATTCAAATATGAGTATCACTATCACAAGAACAA